GGTAGAAATGACAGTTCTGCTATTATTGGAGGAGGTGGGATGGAACTGAGTTAGTGGTTGCCTAAACAGTCCTTCTGGTTATGTGAATGTAGAGTGTTTCCAGAGTGAACAGAGAGCTGCTACACCATATTCATAACCTGCAAGGAAAATACTGGAGAGTCAGAGGAACTATTAGAGGCAGAGGATACCCAAAATATTTCAGATGGGCACAGAAAACCACTTCCTCATACCAGCTGCATTCCTGACATTTTTGAGAGGAAGGGGAAATGCTTCTGGGGCCCTATCCAGTGTCTACTGATCTCACTGGAAAGAGTCTCATTGACGTCAACAGGCTTTAGGTAACCCCAGTTAGTCTGTCATTAATGCAGACTTGGTGTAGTGTCCAGTTGATCCAAGTTCCAATTGAAATCAGTGGCCATCTGAGGGTGCTCAGCATATTGCTTTTTTTCAGCTGACACTCTTGTCTAACTGCCCCAGGGAAACGCTGGACTAAACTTGGCTTCCTGAAAGTGATTGTTAGAAAGTACCTGGATATCTGAAACAAGAAAATGCTTCAAATGCTGAAGTTGGTTTTCAAGTTCCTACTTTTAATAGGCAAGAGTATAAAAATGTATGTTACTCTGATGACGGAATTAACACAGGGTTGAAGTTCATAGCTAGTATTTGGGGTACAGATGGCTCATCTCTTGACTTACTTGGTTTTGCTTACCTAAGATGGGTTTTAAGATCCCAGCCGGCACCTTTTAATAATACCTAGCTCCCTTCATCAGTTGATCTCAGAGTGCTTTACCAAGGAGGTCAGTATCACCATTTTACCAATGGGGAAAACTGAGGCACAACAGTGAAGTAACTTGCCCAAGGCCACCCAGCAGACCAGAGGTAGGACCAGGAATAGAATCAAGGTCTCCTGAATCTCAGTGCAGGGCTCTATCCATTAAGCCACATTATTGTCTTCATACAAACAAAAATCCCACTGGCTCTTCAATGGAAGTTTTACCAAAGTAAAGACTTCTTGATTTGACCCCAAAAATGAGACACAGTTTCAATTTAATGATGCTTTAAAAATATTCCCTATAATTTAGCTCAGAAGGAATCTAGGTGCTTAACTATTAAAAAAGTCCAGTAACACTGAACAGCTTACATAGATGTTGCATAGCATAGTGCTGAGATACCATCATGACAGACATAAAAACCTAGATAGCTGAAGTCTAAAGCCACTTAGTGCTATAACATACATGCCCTAGTTACTGATGAACCAGCTGTGCCTTAACAGTGTTGAGTTCAACCCTCCAGGACCCCTATTTAAAGTTTGAACGACTAAATGCCCCCTCCCCCATCTTTCATTGACCTATCTGTGATTATGAGCTGGCGAGTTTATTGTATTGAAAGAGATATGAAGTTTAATTCTCAGTGTATTGATTTCTGGGGAACAAAAACCAAAAAACCCACCAACAAAACATTGATTTTTATATATCACAAAATAAACCCTTGTATTGACGAATATGTAGGAAGGGAGGGGGATAGTGTTGGGCAAATGAAATTCCAAGTCATTTATATAAAAAATATAATACTTTATTTTCAACTAGAAAGGTGCAAACATGTAACTTTTGGTCACACTTCTCAACAAATAAACTGTTCAAAGAACAGCCACGGTCAAAGAAAGAAACAAATGCTCTCAGGTGGATAAACTGATCAGCTACAAAAGAGCCATTCATTTTACTTAAAGCCATTTGTTCACTAAAGCTGAGGCAACCATATTTTTACCATACAAATGGAGGTTTCCCAAGGATGCAGGCACCTCATCTTTAGCAAACAATCTGTCTTGATTTTGATTCACTGGTCACCCTAACTGAACAATTTCCATTAGAGGATCTATTTCATGCTTTGAATGCATTGTCAGACAAGCTTTACGTCCTACCTATTTCTTTCAAAACAAACAAAAAAAAGCTAACATTAAAGTATCAAAGCATTAACAAAGGCACAAAACTTTAAATTAATTTAGATAACTGTACATATATATACAGTATTTACAATATTAATAAAAATCTAGCTTGTTACAGGCAAATTAACTGCCACAAGCTGTCCAGTCAAATAGACATGATTCTGATTCTTCTTGAACAAGTCATTTGAATCAGTGTCAAAGCTGAAACATTACAGTCCTGACCAACAGAACACATTTTACTTAGCACCTTGCTGGGTAATGATTTACATTCCCGCCATTGCTGTCACTCAACCAGTGTCAGCACACATGCTAAGGGTCTCTTCTTCAATTGCACTACTAGGTGGAACACATGTTACCATACTAAGGGAACATTGATCTTCCTGCATATGCCCCCTAGTACGCCCTAAACACCACTCCATGAACAGTGTCCTCTGAAGCTGTGCTTTGCTGTGGTCCCATGAGCCATTTTACTTTCTTCTTCAAACCAATGTTTGGGGTCGGAAGACAATTTGTCTTAAGTCACATGGAACAGTCTGAACTTTTTGGAAACAGATTTAAATACTTTGTGCTATCGAATCATGTTTACAAAATGAGATGCCAATCAGGTCAAGTTGAGAGCCTAGTGTCTCCTGCTTTATGCCATGTCTCCATACATCTTTCGGTAGTACAGAGACTCAAAGATGTCATTGTCTCCAGGGCAGTTGTAGTGGCATGCACAGGTCTTGATGAACATCATTCTCCTCTTCATGACCTCACCGTCAGGGCATTTGAACTCCACAGGAAGAGTGGCTGTTCTGTGGGGGGTGCAGCAACGTCCATCAGTGCAGACCCCACAGAATTTAGCTCGATAGGTCTTCACACTGGTACAGCCGGAGAGCTCAAACTTGATGGGCTTGGAGATTTTGGGGGTGCGAATACACTTTTTGCCTTTCTGTGGGGCAACAAATGAAAAAAGTTTAGAAGCCTTATTTAAAAGATTGTACAATTTCCATTCATATTTCTATCCATTAATTTCATCCTGTTATTATATGCAAAGAGGTTAATACTCTGATCCTCATGAAGGTTTCACATTCAAACAAGACAGTTTAAATAGTGTTCAAATTGTATTATACTTATCTAATGGCTAAAATAGGTGCATTTATGTATAACAATTCTTAAATATTCACTACTGGGATGAGACCTTATATAATATTTACTTGGTTCTGAAAGTGGATAAGTTAGAGCTATACATCTTCTGTAAAACTGGGTCTATGCTGAAACATCCTTAGAAGTGTATATAGATGGCATATTTACCTTGATGTTTTCCTCCAAGTCTGCCTCACAAGGTCTGACCATGCAGAGTCTGCTTTGCTTCTCCAGTCTGCAGAAGGCATTGTCATTGGTGACTCTGGTGGAGATGCCCATTCCACAGGTCTTTGAGCAAGCACTCCATTCCGTGGTCTGGACCAGGCAGTTGGCACGCATCATCATTGCCTGGTCAGGTCCATAAGTGTCTTCTGGTCTGTAAGCTGTGGAGCACAGGTCAACAGGATGAGATTGTGGCAGAGAGAAATAGTGCAGATGCTATCCTCTCAGTGTATTAATGTTGCACAAACGTAGGATCATATTTATCCTTGGTGTGATTCCACTGAAGGCACTGGAGTCACATCAGGGCTGAATCTGGTCCATTAGGATAATCATCACTGCATTATGTATTTCAATCTACTGCATTGGCAGGCCAACAACATTCATTAAGATCTCAACTCACCAGCTAGAGCGGGTCCAACCGCCGTCTGTTCTCGGAGCTCATCGCACACCCATTCCTCGCAGCACTTCCCAGGGAGCTTAACTCTTCGTGGGGAAGGACAGTCTGGACTGGGCAGCCGGACATCCATGCTGCACAGGGGCACGCACCCCACCGCCCCGTCGAGGCAAGTGCACTGGTATTTGCAGCTGCTCTGGAAGGACTCCCCGCTCCTGTACACCATCCCTCCGAACACACAAGGGGCGCCGTCCCGAGCTGCAGACAGTGAGAGGGACAGCCGGACATAAGCACTCCGGGAAAGGCAGCAGCCCAGCCATTCGCGTTGCCACTGTGGGGAGGGCGCGCAGCAGGAGCTGGGGGAGCCGTAGTTTCCACGGCTCCTGCTGAGTGGGAGGAGGCGGGAATGACAAGATCACCGCTGTGCAATGGAGCTGTGCCCTGTAGAGAGAACACACTCTCCCATGGAAGGCAGCCAGAGGGGGGTTGGGCATGAATTGGACGGGGTCACTTTTAAAGGCTCTAGCACCCCAGATCTCGGCCCTCCCCGCTCACTGCCGCCCCCGGCGGGGAGAAGCAGAGCCCTCCGGACTCCACTTACCGGTGCACACGCCGATCTTGCGGTTGGCCGGCGAGCCGAAGTCGCAGAAGAGCCCCTTGTGGTGGTCGCAGGGGTCCCGCTCGGTGCACAGCTCGCCCAGCTGCTTGGCGCACACCCTGCAGCAGCCGCAGCCGTCCTGCACCAGGCTCACCCCAGCCGGGCACATGGGCGGCGGCCCCGCCCCGCACTGACACTGCCCGCTGCAATCCTGGCCGGACACCTCCTGCAGAGAGAAGGAGACGGGAGGGGGTCAGGGGAGCCCGGCTCGCTGCGCTTCGGATCCCCGCGTCCCCAGCGACCCTCCCTCCAGTCCTTCAGCTGGGGAGGCGGGCGAGGGGGGAGGCACTTACCGAGCAGAGGAGGGCGACAAGCAGCGCCACGGCGAAGCTGCTGGGTCCCATTCGTGCGGCCATGCTCGGCAGCGGCTCTCGGCAATAGACGGGGCAAAGGCTCCTCGGCTTGTCTGTCCTGCGGGCGGAGGGAGTTCGAGTCAGTGGGCCGTGGTGTTGAGCTGGGTTCCCTGTCTGCTGTCCGATCGCCTCGCGAAGTTCCTGTCTCTCTGGCAGGAGAGTTGTTCTATGGGTCTGAAGCAGGGAGCCTGGTTGCTTTTATACACTCCAGGCGCCCCGGGCTCGCCAATCGGCTGAATGGAGTCCTACACAAACAGCGACATTCCTGACATTCCTCCCCACCTTCCTGCCTCATCAACTCGCACCGGATTGATCCTGACCCCTTGACACTCAGCATTCCTCCTGTCTGCAAAAGCTGGCACACTTCAGCACACAAAAAAGGCGCTGTATTTCCATCACCAAATGGCATTTCCCCCCTTCCAGCCTCATACTCCTGATTTTATATGATGTAAAATACTTTTTAAAATTATTTTTAGATGACAAACCTCTGTTTCAAACTACTTTTGCTTTGCCCACCCTACCTCCAAATTACATAAATCGTATTAACAGGCACTTCACTACAAGATACAAACTCCTGGGAATTCTGAACCAACTAAGACGTCTTAAATATCTATCGGGACTGGATACATTTGAATCACCACCAGCAGCCCTGGTAACAAGAAAGGAGCTGTTTTAAAACCCACAGGAGTTCAGAAGAAACTGCATGTAAAATCTGTTATAAACTCAGAATTCTTCATTACGGAAGGATAAACTTTTTCATACTAACGATTGCTGCTGCTGCTTATAATATTATCTGAGAAGGTGTAATTTAGAGGGAAAGTTACTGGTGATCAAGTTTATTGGCTTATAATAGCTGAGACTAATTTGCTATAATTAAAAATTAACCTTTTACTTGGATGGGAGGTTCCATTATTCTGTCTTTTAAGGAAGCACATTCTTTGATATTAAATTATTCCAGAGAAAAATACTCATCAATAGTAGATAAGAATCTGTTGTTCGATTCAACACAAGCGATTAATGCTGTGACAGGCAGCTACTTCAAGTGGGGGGGGGGGGGAAGCAGGGAGAAAGGTTGTGGGGATGGTTGCTAGGAACAACCATGGGAATTCTTTTTCTTTCTTTTTTTTTTCTTGGCTAGAAAATACAAGACACTACTAATTTTAAAAGGTGGATTGCTCTCTACTGACTTATTTAGAGAGTGGGTGACTAGCCTTCCCTAGATACACACTTTTTCAACGTTGGCAACCAGTTTTGGAGCACTGAACACTCTGGGCATTTTGTTACTACCAAAAAAAGTCATAATTATATCATGAGGATTGGTTATAAATTGAGTCTGTGTGTTACTGAATCATACTGAATATTTGAAATGTGTTCCTTTCCCAATAGATGTTCTCTATGAATAGAGAGAGTGCCTATTTACCCTGAAATACTTGGCACAATGAAGTGAGGCTGAAGTGTGGAAGAAGTGTCTCTTATTTCCCACTGCCTGCTTGCAGCTGTCATCGGTGAGTAACACATTCCTAGGGCATCTCTGCTTCCCTCTTGCTGATTATGCCTCGTAAGATTAAAAATCAGTTTGGCTTGTCACCAAACCCTGTAGTTCTTAAGTATCTTGGTCCTTATTAAATAATCATGAACCACGTTGTTCTTATTTATTTCAGCAGGAAGGATGGCTTCCCAATCCGGCATCATTTGTCTGTGCAGTGATGTCATGTTGATTGACCCCAGCTTTAACACAATGAATGCCAGCATGTTGACTTTTGACCTGTTTAAGTATGCTTGTGTTTATTGAGACAGACAGAGTTAATGCACTTTGTTAGGCAAATTGAAGTCTAGTTGATGGATATTTTTAAAAAGATGTTTGCATATAACCACTCCCTCCTCCCACACTTTCACACTTGTGATACAGCAACATGGAATTACAATTTTACTAAATTCAGAAAGTGATCTCATCTCTTCTACTGAATTTTAACAGACTGAATCAGTCCAATTCCATTATAAATAACATCAGTCGCAAATGGTTATTTATGTTATCAACAATTCACACTCTGGGCCTAATTTTCAAATATAGTGGCCTTTATGAGAAACCTTAATCCTACTTTTGGATGCTCAGATTGATACTTGGGCTAAATTCTGTCCTCAGATACATACAGCACTGGCTTGTTGCTTTTCTGAGGGCAACATTTGACCTTTAGGCATGTTAATGGCCATTCTATAGACCCTATCCAGTTTTTATGGAAACGAATGGTAATCTTTTATTAACTTTAATGGGAGTTAGACTGGGCTGTAGTACTGAGGTGCTGATCTGAATGCCCAAATGCAAGATTTGATTGTCCTGTTTAGACACTAGCATATGAAATTTGGGTCAGTTATGTGGTAGCTGATCTGTGAAGAGTGGTGAAATGATAAACATAATCTCTCCTGTGTGTGTGTGTAACTTCCATTAATGTCACTGGGGAGACTGGGTATGTGTGGAGGGGAGAATGTACCTCAAAATCTCTCTAATTTAAAAATCCAATATTCTATATTGTACTGCAAAAGTGTATTTATCTTCTGGCACTCCTCTTTGCCTTCAAATTAAGGTTCTTGGCACTCCTCTTTGCCTTCAAGTTAAGATTATACCATTGCTTCTGCTAAAAATCCCAATTTTTCATAAAGAAAGTATATCTTTGCTATTTAAAAAAATCCAGAGGAATAGTTATGGTAAATATTACATTTCCAAACTTCTGAAGCTTCCCAAAATCCATATTTACCTAAAGACTGTGATGACCCCAGTACTGGGTAAATAATATGCATACCAAACTATGTATAACATGCATACCAAAATGCAAATGTAACCAGGTAAACAGACTGCCTTTTAAAAATGCCTAAATATGGTAGGAGATCATCAGAGAGAGGCTCTAGACATGTTTCATAGCTTTCTGTGTAAGAATTTTTTTCAGAGAAATAATTTTTTTATTAAACAAAAACCTAAGAAGTTCATTGACAGAAAAAGTATGTTTTAAAGTAACAAAACACCAGAAAGCAGGAAATCCAAAGTGAAGGGCCAAGTCTGTCCTTAATTCAAATCACATAATGGGCCAAATACAGCTGTCCTCATCCATCTGTTGTTCATTGTCTTCAGTAAGAGTTTGGCTGCAGGACTAATTCTGTGCTCCCTGTGTAAATTGGGAGTAACCTCACTGGAATCTAAGATGTTTCATCAGTGTAAATATGCCCAGAATCCAACCCTGCAGAATTTGGCTTCATGTTGTTTTATTTCTTTCACTGTTTATAAATGACTCATCAAGTGTGTGTATGTGTGTGTGTGTGTGTACATGTACAGGGGAGGAAGTAAAGTGGAAATAGGGGCTTCTTATAACATTACGCTTCTCTTTCCTTATTATATAATAGGCTATATCCTTATTGATGAACAGTATGTCATGGTTTGAAGAACTACATCTTGGAGTTGATTCATAAAAGGTTAAAATGCACTAATATTGAGTTATATACAGGTGTTTATACAGCAAATGCTTTTTAGCCAGTATATTTTTTCTGGTGAAATGAAGAATTCACTATGTTGGCAGCACAACCCTATTGACACAGCTATACCCGGTATGTGTGTGCCTACATCAGCTTCAGTTGGTACAGTTCCTTTGGTTAAGTCTTGTAAAATGTACAGGTGTGGATATGCTACATTCCTTCCCTTATGTTTTTCCTTTTTTTTTCCTTCCCCCCAAAAAGTTCACTTGATCAAGTATCAGACATACTGAAACCTGGCAGGACTACAGGAAAGTGGCTAGACTTGGAGTGTTTGTGTACTTAAAGAAGGAATCTTGCACATTTTCAACTTTCAGTCTCAGATATTTTCTTATAAGAGCAATTGGAAGTCTGAGCCAGCCCTCAAAGCGGAAATCAATAGCTCCCAGAGAAACATACCCAAGGAATGTGAATCTGATCCAGGAACCATACGCAATGCACATACAGTACTGTCTTCCTTATAGGAAGTCTGGCCGTATATGGACATGTGTACCCTGAGCTATTTTTCATCATGATGGTCTTGTAGTTGGCTATAGACATTTCTAGTTTGCCTCAGGTTTAACGATGTACATTAATTTCCTTCCCCAAAAGCCCTCCAGAATATTTCTTAAATTGTAATAAATATTATCCTAAAATCCTAAGGGATCCAGTTAAACTTACAGCAACATGTATTTGTTTAAAATAAAGACTTGCTGTGCTACTGCAGAAGTGGAAATGAAGTAAAAATAAAAAGCTCTACTCTGTCTTGAATTTGCTGCCCTTCTGTTTGTCTTTCTTAGAATTCATGTGATGACTCATTCTGTATATCCACAGGTATAGAAAGTGCTCAGGTACAATAACTGCTACAGATTCACAACTTTTTGCGGCGGGGGGGTTCATGAGCTAGTGAATTTGCGAAGGCAGAGAAAAATGGAGAGAAAACACTTCTTTTTCCTAAGAACTGTCAAGCAGCTTTTCCATGTTTTCCATCTAATTTATTCCATCTGTATAACTATAATACTGTGGGCTAGATCCTCATCGGTGTACATTTTCTTAAATGAAACTTCACCAATTTACACCCGCAAATCCTGCCAATGAGATTTTACTTGTTAATGGCATTAACTCTTCTTAGAAGCATACAGGCAAAGAGAGACTGGATGGTGTGGGGGATGGCTTCTGACCTCCAAAGGTGTTTATTACTAAATTGCTGGTTCAAATCTAATACTAAAGACACAGAGTTAGATTCTATGTTGATGGAACTTCTTTTTGAAATCAAAATCACCAGCAGAGAATTTGGCCTCAAATTGTTACCCCGGAGACCAGTTGTGGAATTAAGTAGTGTTCAGCAGCATGAGTAAGGCTATGCCATAATGTGTAACTCCCTATTCATAGACCTGAGTTCATTCTTATTCCTCAGTCATAAATATTGTCACTTAAATATGTGATATTTTATTACTTGAAGTGTCACTAGAAGGGTTGCTTTAAACTTCTGGCTTAATTTTCTGAAAAGTCACCACTGTTTTTCATGGACATGTGTGGTCTTAAAGTGGTAAAGTGATTACTGGAAATAAAATAATCTTAATCATGAGAGTATTCCAAACATATATAAAACTGTCTATGTTAAGTCAAGATTACCTTTAAAGTGAACTGAAAGGCATTTTATCTGCCAAGACCCAGGTCCAGAGCATCTGGATTTCCCCTGAAACATCTGATGGCACCATTAACAGTGGAGGGAGCTGCATTCATTGCACTAATGTAGATGTCAGAAATGTCATTAGTATTTGACGGGAAAAACAGAGCCCTTAACACAGGTCATGGCATGTGAGTGAGGAGGGAATTGACTCTCAATTATCAGGCTCTATTTATTCCCAGGTTTTGCTAGAGGGTATAGGATTTCCAGCAGTTGTAAGCCCAACTAGTGTGGGATTGCAATGACTCAAAACAATCCCTCCTCACCCTGCTTTGACAATGGCTTGAACAGTCCAAAAAAGTGAGTGGAGCTGGCTGAAGATGGGACATGCTATACCCGGTATGTGTGTGCCTGCATCAGCTTCAGTTGATACAGTTCCTTTGGTTAAGCCTCTGGATTCAGTTCAGTCCCCTAGGCAACCTTTGATGCCCTCTCCTGGAGGAACCCCTGGGGAGAGTGGTGATGGAAACACTACCTTCCCTCTCCTGAAGGCTAATGCCCTTGATGGCACAGCAGGAGAGTGCCCCCCTTCCTGATCTCCTACATCAGCAAATCAATCCCATTTTGTTTTAAAATGCATTTGCTCACATTTTCTAAAGTTTGCACATAAATTCTATTGGGGCCAAATCAAGGGTATTTTGCTGAGTTAGGCATGTAGGATGGGCCCCTTGTTGACATAACATCCTAGGAGTTCTTATTTCATGTACAATATTATTTTTAGTTCATTTTTAAACTTTAATGTCTTCCATTTGCAATATAAAGGATGTTGTGGTACGCATGAATTTCTCCTGCCGCTGTTCTTGTATGCTTCTTCTTGGTCCTGAATCACCCATTCTGGTATTACTGGAAGTCCTAGCATGTTGTAATAAAAACAGTGAGACTTGGTCACATCCCAAGGGAGGTCTGAAATCCATTGTGATCATTTTACTGCTCTGCATACCAAAGCCATTATGAATTTCTCTCTCTTACCCTTGCTGCAGGAGTGCGATTAGGACAATCTCATACATATTTGAGCAATATGCTCATCTGACAGAATGTTGAAAATAAAGGCCAAAATGTTTGAATGTGTGTCTATACCTAGGCACCTCAGTCCCTACTTAGACACTTAGGGAAAAGTGGCTAAGCTTCCAGAAAATTTTGCCCAATCAATAAACTATTGAGCCACAGAATGACAGAAAGTCATTGGGTCACCCACTCTGTCTCTGTCATTGAAAAAGAACAAGAAAAAGAAGAAAAACTGTTGCAAGAACTGATGGTTTGACAGTTTGATGCATAATGACAGTTCTGTGGCATCAATGAGACAGGAATGTCTGTTTTCAGGAGCTCTATCTGTGAATATCAAATTAACATACAGCAGTAACTTCCGTTGTAACTATAGAATTTATGTGCATATGTAAAGGTGGGAAAGTCTTATATGGACAATATGCTTATTTCTAGTGTTTGAACAATTTTGTTGATTGAAAATGATTGTCCCACACCCTCATCACTCTGGATCCTTTTTTTCTTTCTCTGTCTTAATAAAAATATACGGTGTCCCTTTAGGTCAAGTGATAGAGGCCGTCCTTTTGGAGGAAGGGCACTTGAACTCCATCCATAGAGTCATAGATTCCAAGGCCAGCCCAGAAGGGACCATTGTGATCATCTATTTTCGCATTTTGTGTAACTAGACTTGGAAGGATTAGGGTATTTTTACTGGTAAATATCAGTAAACATCAATTTCACTATACACACACAAACCCATGGAAACATATGTCCATCACTAATAGTAGAAATTTACAGATAGGCAAAGTAAGAAAAATGCTTCTTGAGTACTTATTAGAATTTGATTTTTATATCTTTTAACATGTGATGTTGACAGTTTATATTAGTAGATCCTTGTAGACTGCTGCAGTTTTAATTCTGGTTATAAAGCTTTTAACTTTTTGAAAACAAAGTCTACTGTCATTAAAAAAATGTTTTTTGCTGTGTTGTTGTAGCTGTAATGGTCCCAGGATATTAGCGAGATAACGCGGGTGAGGTGATATCTTTTATTGGACCAAATAGTGATAGCGACAAGCTTTTGAGCATACACAGAAGAACAACTCTATGTAAGCTTGAAAGCTGGTCTCTTTTTACCAACAGAAGTTGGTCCAATAAAAAATATTACCTCACCTACCTTGTCTCTCTTGTTAAATAATTTATTGACCCGCCCTGGTGTGTCTGATCCTCCTCCCCACCCTCCATAATTTCCTATAACTGTGAAATTTAAATTGGTAAAAATTGAAGATAATGCTTAAAAATAAACATCTATATTTTCCATCAAAATTATAAAAAAATAAAAATAGAATTCTACTAAGCCTGTTTATAACACAAGCCAAAGAACTCCCCCAGAATAATTCCAGTTGCAACTAGAGCATATTTTTTAGAAAAATATCCAGTCTTAATTTAAACATTGTTAGTGATGGAGTGTCCGCCACAACCTTTAGTAAATTGTTGCAATAGTTAATTACCCTCATTGTTACAAAAGTATGCTTTATATCCAGTCTGAATTTATCTAGCTTCAACTTCCAGACCTATTTGCGCTCTGCAGTTCAGAGTGGCCAGAAGAATAACAAGCAATAAGTCCTGGAGTCACAGATTGTTTACTCTGCCTCCATTAGCTGTTACTATCATACTCACTGACTCTGTGGGTGCTCTGGGGCTGAGGCACCCACAGAAAAAAAAATAGTGGGTGCTCAGCACCCACCAGCCACCTGCCGATCAGCTGTTCGGTGCCCCCTGCTGATCAGCTCTTCTGCAGCAGGCAGGGGGTGCTGGTGGGAGGGGGAAGTGTGTGTGGGGGGAAGAGGCGGAGTGAGGTGGGGCACTGGGGGAAGGGGTGGAGCAGGGGCGGGAAGAGGTGGAGTGAGGGTGGTGCACACTTGGGGAGGAGCAGAGCGGGGGAGGAAAGAGGCAGCTCAAGGGCGGGGCATGCTTGAGGGGGCGGAGCAGGGGAAGGAAGAGGCGGAGCGAGGGTGGGGCATGGGGAGAATGGACGGAGTGGGGGTGGGAAGAGGCGGAGTGAGGGTGGGGCCTTGTGGGAAGAGGCGGAGTGGGGGCAGGCCTCGGGGCAGATCGTGGGTGGAGAACCCATCCAGAAAAAGGAAAGTCGGAGCCTGTGATTAGGAGTGTAGGGTTTATGACTTACAGCTGAATAGTTCTGATTTCGTCTAGCAGAGGGGCAGTAGTGCATCCACACTATTACCAAACTTTGTAATCTTGCAGCCAAGACTAGATTACTGCAATGTGCTCTACTTGGGGTATTTCTGAGACACTCTCAAAAACAGAGGCTTCAGCTAGTGAAAAATACAGCAGCTTGCCACATTTGGAAATGAGCAGCTCTGCTCAGGTGTTGTGTGTTGGTGTATTGTTTGCTTCTGAGTGCAGTTTAAAGTATTGTTACCTATTAAGAACTAATGTTGTGCTCAGGGCTGTATAAGACACAACACTTCCTGCCCTGAAGATCTTAAAGAAAATGCAGATTGGCTGGGATTGCATTCAGACAGTCCTAAAATGTTCTGGTACCAAGTAATCGGATGCTCTACCTTTTTTGTTCCTGACTCTTCCTGGTAACTACAGTCTGAATCCCTCTTACTGTTTGATTACTTAAACTGAACTCTCTGAAACTGGCTTGGTCTCTGCACTGGAGGGCCCACAGTTTTGCAGTCTGGTTCCCTCTGGTGATCCACAGAGACCAAATTTGAGAGCTTCAGGGTATACTTAGGGCCTGGCCAGATTATCTTTCAATTAACAAATGGGGTTAAAACTGCAGCAGTCTGTGAGGATACTAATTTATGTTGTTGTGAAGTGGGGAGATGCCAAGGAAAATGGCAATGTCTATGATCTGTGTGTGTAATATATATTACACGTATATGAGTATATCTTCTTATGGTGATCCTTGTGAATGCCAGCTCTATTAGTACTCAGTATATTAGTGGCATCCAAATTGGTTGTCCATCATCACATAGAACCTTATGAAAATCATTGACACTACATTATTTTCAATGCTTTTATAGTGTGCCTCAGCAATAGTGTAGATGAACTGTTTTCATGAATCTTTTAT